CGGATGAGGGAGCGCAAAGGCAGGAGAATGATGCTGCCCACGACCCGGGACCATCCAACATAGGCGCAGCCAATCTCGCTGGTGATGAGAGCGAGGATGCGGGGGCGGAGGACGACGCGAATGGGGCAGCCGGTGATATCGCAGAGCCGGCAGCGCAACCCGTCGAGCCTTTTGACAGCTCGCGCAAGCTAGCAACGCTTATTTTCTCCGCCAGGGGCGGCGTCGGTATGTCACATACGGACGTTGATGCTCTCTTGTCACTTCTCAACGACCCGAGATTCAGCGCGACGGACATTGCGTACCGCAACAGTCGAGAGTGCTTCGCGTGGGCGGGCAGTCTAGCAGAGGCCGCTGGGTGGAAGGAGTTGGATCTGCGTAGTGACGACTGGCCTTGAGAAACGCACGCCGTCTTATGGCACCGCGATTGGCGAACTGCATTTTTATCGATAATGCACGTCGCGTTGCAGAAATGCGAGACGGTTCATTCCCTCGAGGTGTCCCCGCCGTCGGAGGACAACAGTGTATCCGGTCCGTGTAGCGGGGCGCTCAGTTATCACACGCAGCCAATCATTCGAGCGCACAAAGGTGTCGACGAGAATGGATATTCACGATATGTAATCCCTCTCTCACTGTACTCCGACAAGACACACACAGACGGTCGTCAGAAACAGACGGCATACCCTCTTATGATGTCGCTAGCCGACCACGCGTCGGAAGCCACTCTGCTGGCCTATCTTCCCGTGCTTCATCATCGACCCCGTAACAAAGGATGGGGTCTACAGTCCACCGCATTCAGGAAGCGAAAGGCCGTCATCTTCCACAAGGCCCTTTCGACGGTCTTGCAAGCTGCGAAGGAGGCATCGCACAACGGCATCACGATACCATCGACGTGATTCGGGGACATGACTGTCCACCCTTTCCTCCTCAACTATATACAGGACTACCCAGAGCGATGTGCGCTGGCGAATGTGAAGTTTGGTGTATGCCCTACATGCACCGTGTCAAAAACGGACCTCGATGTCGTGGCCGATTTCACAGATAACAGGAGATCCCAGACGCTGGAAACTCAACTTGCAGCAGCTGTGTTCACGGCGGACGACGATGACGTGCGCCGTGCGGCGGAAGGGCGAATGGCGGAGTTGGACATGCATAGGCATGTTAAACAGAACGACTTTTGGGGGTTCTACAGGGGGCCGAGTGGCGATGATCCTCAGCTAGACTACCACCTCGCATTGCAACCAGACCGTATGCACACGATCGAACACGGCATATTCCTGCACATGATCGACGCATTCAGGGCGGCAGCCTTTGAGAAGTTGCCGAACACACCGCAAACAGAGATCCTGAAGGAACTCGATGCGAGATTGCAATGCGTTAGTGAGAGATGTACGGGAACATATCCCCAACTTGTGCTGCCCATGGCCACAGGCAGCAATTTTTTTTCTCGAGAGGGACGCTTCGAGGCGAAGCGAAACCGGTCTGTTATGACAGTGTGCGTGTTCCTCATTTTTAATATAATCCCGCGCTCGACAGGCGAGGGCATTACTGATTGTTTTGTTAAGCTGATGCAAATGTACGTACGGTTGTTTCGGCGCACAGCACACACTCGAGCTTCACTCGACGAATGTGACGCGTTGATGACGGACTTCGTAACGACCATCAAAGCGAAATTGGGAAGATACCAACCATCAAATTGGAAACTCTCGAAGTTGCATGATCTTATGCATATGAGAACGTGTATTGAGCGATCTGGTGTGGCCGACACATTCGCTGCAGACGTTTGGGAGCATCACCACAAGAGATTCTGCAAACAACCGTACATGTCATCGAACAAAAGGAAAGCGTCAACCCAGATGGTCAACCACGTGCGCCGGTCGCTGGCGTTGCAGGAGGAGACCGGATTTGTGAGGAAAAGGAGAAAGATGGCCGTCGAGAATAGGTCTTCTGTGACGGACTGTATGACAACGGGGATGAATACCCTGGCACTATGCGATACGTCAATCCTTCAACTGCGCTGGTTCGACATCGATCAGGACCAGATATGCGAGGTGGAAGGCATTGACAGTCATGCGTGTAAGATACTTGAAGAGCTCCCTTTCAGAACCGATTTTCGAGCAGCGATTACGACGTATATGGCGGAGAATGGTTGTCAACCTCCTCCTGATGATCTCGCTATACACACACGAACACATCTCGCCATCGCTTGCACGCAGGACGGAACAAACAGGGGCACACTTGTTCAAACTGCACGAGCGTCGCTGCGGTTCCACGGGAGACCAGTGCACAGCGATGTCGCAATAAGAGCAGCCAACGAATGTACGTGGTTCGCATCAGTGGCCATGTTTTTCGTCGTCGATGCACCCACAGACGGCGGTAATGCAGAACACAAGTGCGCTTTTGTGCAGTGGTACACAGAGGTTGACAGTGAACGGGAACACGTGACAGGTTGCAAGGAATTGAAATGGGAGAAGGCGAATGGACATCAGCACAGCAGCGTCGTTTCAACCGACACTATCGTAGACACCGTTCACACTGTTCCGCGCTTCTGTAAACCACAATGGGGATCGAAAATGCATGCGCTCCACCGTGAGGACTGTTTTTTTTTAAACAAGTACATATTGTAGAAGGAATAAATTTGAAGTTTGAGAGAGAGAGAGAGAGAGAGAGAGAGAGAGAGAGAGAGAGAGAGAGAGAGAGACTCATTTCAATTACGAGAAAATATGTAAGTCTGTCTATTTCTTCTCGCGACAAGATGGTAATGCCGTTATCGGCCGAAGTAAATTTTTCTAGTAGCTGTAAACAACTATGATGTCTAACGCTGACATACCTATGAAGGAGAACCAAAACCTCATGCGAAACGAAAGTGTCCCCAAAAGTTGACTACTGCGTGACATTCA